AGAAAATTCACAGGAGGACTAATCATTTGACTTCAACTGTATATTGTTTGTAGTGTAGAGAAAAATAAGAGTAAATAATTGATAATGCTGGCTTCAAAATATATTAAACGTTTGTCTGTTATTGCCCAGGTTTTTATCATGGTAAGTTTGCGTTTAGTGTTATTCTGGGTTAGATCAAGAGTTCCCAAATTTTTCAGCCCACGACCCCCAAAATAATATTGCCAGTGACTAGCAAACCCCACATTCCTCGGAGGTGAATCAATCCTATGACAAAAAAATGTAAAAGGCTGATAGCTTTTTATCTGAATGTTGTTGCTTTTGTGAGTGACGCAGTGGCGCAGTAGGCAGTGCTGTCACCTCACAGCAAGAAGGTCGCTGGTTCGATCCTCGGCTCAGTTGCCGTTTCTGTGTGGAGTTTGCATGTTCTTCCTGCGTTCGCATGGGTTTTCTCCGGGTGCTCCGGTTTCCCCCAAAGTAAAAAGACATGCGGTACAGGTGAATTAGGTAGGCTAAATTGTCTGTAGTGTATGAGTGTGTGTTTGTGTAAATGTGTGTGTGGATGTTTCCCAGAAATGGGCTGGGAAACATCCACGGTTCATTCCAGCGGTTCATTCCGCTGTGGCGACCCCGAATTAATAAAGGGGCTAAGCCGACAAGAAAATGAATGAATGAACGTTGTTGCTTTTATGTAACTATTAACAACTATTTTTTATCTTCTGTGGGATATGGATAAAAGGTAATTCTGATTGTTTCCGACCCCACTTCGGGAACCACTGGGTTAGACAGGACCAATCAGCTGTGAGTAAAGTCATATCTGATGCTATTAAACCTTGTTTGTGTCAACATAATTGTTTGTTATGATAATTATAATTATTTCCAATGGTCAGTATTACTAATGCCTTTAAATTGACATATACATTTAAATATTAACATATACTGTACATAGGCTTTAATAAATAAAGCTTTAAAACTGACTGAACAATGAGCTGTTTATGAACCTACATTATTTAAAAAAATATATTAATTTGCATTAAAATAATGTTGTTTTATTAACATTTATATGTAATAAGTTGGAAATAAGGGCTATATATAGTTATAGTTTTTCTATATATATAGTATATAGAAATATAGTTTATACTATAGTGAATTGGCCAAGCTAAATTGTCCGTAGTGTATGTGTTTGGATGAGAGTATATGCATTTTTCCCAGTGATGGGTTGCAGCTGGAAGAGCATCTGCTGCATAATACATATGCTGGCAGATCCCAGATTAATAAAGGGACTAAGCCGTAAAGAAAATGAATGACGTTTGAAATAAGTATATTTAATAATAATATAAACTTACGTGAAACTGAAAACAAATATTTTATTAGTATTTTATTGATCAAAAAACTTTTTATATTATATATTCAAATATTTTTGAATGCTCAATATTGCTAATGCCTTTAAATTGGCGTTTAACTATATTAACTTGCATTGAAAAAATATTATTTTATTAAAAATAATATGAAGTTATATTTAATAATAATATAAACTTATGTGAAACAGAAAACAAAATTATTTTATTCAAGGCACTGGCAAATTATTTAGCTTTTTTTAAGAAAAAAACAAACTTAATATTTGACTTATTTCTAAAAATAATTTTAAAAAATTCACGGCTAAATATGTTTTGTGATTTAAGAATTTTTTGGACTACACTGTAAAAAAAAAATCTTCTTGCCTTAAAATTTTTAGTTGATTCAAGTAAATGTTTCTAGTCGTCTCAACTTATAACTTCAATGAAACTGAATAAAAATATGAAGTTAAACTTTGTATAATTACTTGAAACTCTTAAAAGCTGCATAAAAATATTTGTTGCCTTAACTTTTTGTCATTAAATTAGTAACAAGCTAAACTCTGATTCAAAAAAGCAGTGCAAACAATTACTCGTTACCAATGTAATGCATGTGCCTTAAATAAAACATATTTCAAAAAAGAAAAACCTGTCTGATTGTCCTCTAGCTCAACTGCTGCAGCATCTCACCCGCAACGCCACCGGTTCCATATTCAGGAACACCTGCACTGATAACAAAGAGGTACACAATTAAAAAAATCCGTCAAATCAATCACACACACATCAGAAAGCCTGACACGCAGACATTAGTGTTTCCAGCCATTCTTTATTATCACTGCAAGTTATGAAAGTCCCAACATGACCATGAAATGCACATGAATAAATATTAGCCGTACAGACGTAGTGGGAGATCGGACATTATTAATAGAATCTGTTTACATGTAATTAGTGATGATTAGCTGACGATTCCTAATTAAAGAAGAGCTCGTTTGGCAGATTAGATTAGAAGAGTACAAAGGCAAAAATAATAACAACTCTGGAGCTTCAAAGGCAAACATCCTTCATCCTTTTGCGCAGAATGGTCCAAGTGAATGCTGATATGTCAGTTTCCTCTAAGGTGAAAATTAAAGATTAGCATTTTCCCACTGGAGGATTAAAAATGAATGGAATATAGAAAAGCATTTCGTCAGGATTACCTTCAGAAGCCAGAGGAAGGGATTGGACAGGCATTTAACGCACCATGCACAAACGCAACGCTCAAGAACCGTTCGCGTGATAAAGCTTAAAGCAATAGTAATCGTTCACATCTTACAAATCAAAAAAATATAAGTACATATCCAGACTTATCTCTAAATCAATACAAAACCGTTGACGGATAAGATGGATGCTAAACGTATAATCTTATGTCATTAAAACTTTCAATACATGTACTAAACAATTAATTATCTTATATTGGTTTGGTCAAGATTCATTGGATCTAATATGGTCTTTAAATAGCTAAATAAAAGCCACATTTAAAGGGATAGATCACCCAAAAATGGAAATTCTGTCATTATTTATTAATTAACACTTTAAGTTTCTTTTTTCTGTCAAACAAAGAAGATAATTTGAAGAATGTTAGAAACCTGTAACCATTGATGAAGTTTTTACTACAGTACTATGGAAGTTGATAGTTCTTCTCAAAATATCTTCTTTGTGTTCTACAGAATAAAAAACTTTATTAAGGATTGGAACCACTTTAGTAAATAGTGGGCATATTTTAACTTTTTGGAGTGAACTATCCCTTTAATTTGAAGAGAGGCAAACAAAACGGACATCTCATCAGTTCATTTGCATCTCCACCGACTAAGATGCGTAATATATTGATAAACTGCGTCTAATAGACATCTAAACGTAGATGGCTTGGCTAAAGCAAGGCTAAATTAGGGCTGTCGGTGAAAATCTAATAAACATCCAAGAATAGACCAAAACTGTCATTAAATACAAATTAGACAGACTTCACAAATGTAGTCGTTCTTTTTTTTTTTTTTTTTTGGTATTTTATGACTAGTCTAGTTTTGTGCTTTTCTTAGATGTCTATTAGATGTTTGACAGCTCAAGTTTAGCCACATTTAAAGGCATAGTTCAACCAAAACTGAATACCAATTAACACTCTACTTGTTTCAAACCTTTACGAGTTTCTTTCTTATGTCAAAAAAAAAAAGATATTTAAAAAAATGTTGGAAACCTCTAACTATTGACTTCTATTGTATTTGTTTATGCTACAATACTCTGAAAGTCAATGGTTACAGCATTTCAGCTGTTCTCAAAATATCTTTTATATGTGTTCAATAGAATAAAGAAACTCAAAAAACATCGGAACAACTTGAGTAAATAATAAGTACAATTTCATGTTTTAAGTGAACTATTCCTTTAATTTGATGGGTGGAATACAAACCTGACATTTTATCAGTTCATTTGTATCTCCTCTCACTAAGACCTGTAGTATATTGGTATACTGTAAAATTTCCCACCAAGCAATTTTGTGTTTAGACATCTAAACGTAGATAGCTTGGATAAAGCAAAGCTAAATTTGGGCTATCAGAAAAAATCTAATAAACATCTAAGAATAGACCAAAATTAGACTAGTCATTAAATACAGATTACTATATATATATATGTAGTCGTTAAAATTTATTATTATTATTATTTTTTTTTAATATAATGTCTACTCTAGTTTTGGCCTTTCCTTAGATGTGTATTAGATGTTCACTGACAGCTCAATTTAGCCTTGTTTTAATGAAGCCGTCTATGTTTATATGTCTTTTAGACTTCTTTTAAAGACAAAAAATGTTTGCTGTGTTGTGTTGCCCTAATTTTTTAGTTAAACTTTTTTTTAAGTTATATAAAGTTTATTTTCAAATCTTTTGAGTTCTGTTTGATTTAGATGTTGAGATGACTAAAAAAGTTTACTTGATTCAACTGAAAACTTTAGGGCAACACAAATTTTACACTTTACCAAAATACTACAGATCTTAATCAGAGGAGATGCACATGACCTGATGAAATGTCAGGTTTGTTTTCAATCCCATCAAATTAAAAGGATTCTATAGTTCACTCAAGAAATGAAATTCTACCATCATATATTAAGTAACAATTGTTTTAAACCATTATGAGTTTCTTTCTTCTATCAAAAAAAAAAAAAAAAAAAAAAAAAAAAAAATATATATATATATATATATATATATATATATATATATATATATATATAAAGTCTGTTGTATTTGTTTTAACAACAGTACTATGGAAGTCAATAGCAACAGCCTTTCAGCTGTTCTCAAAATATATTCAATGTGTTCAACATAATAAAGAAACTCAAAAAGGATGAGGACCACTTGAGTGAATAATATGTATATTTGAAATTTTTGGAGTGAACTATCCCTGTAGAAATGAAATCAAATCTGACGTTTCCCCAGTTCATTTGAATCTCCTTTAACTAAGATCTGAAGTTTATTAGTAAATTGTAAAATTTCCCATTAAGAAATGCTGTGTTTAGACATCCAAACGTTTATAGCTTGGCTAAAGCAAGGCTAAATTTGAGCTGTCTGTGAAAATCTAACCGACATCTAAGAATAGACCAAAACTAGACTAGTCATCAAATACAGATTACTTTACATATGTAGTCGTTCATTTTTTTTTTTTTTTTTTTTTTTTTTGCAATTGATGTCTAGTCTAGTTTTGGACTTTACTTAGATGTCTATTAGATGTTTACTTATAGCTCAAATTTGGGTTGTTGGTGAAAATCTAATAGACATCTAAGAATACACCAAAACTAGACTAGTAATCAAATACAGATTACTTTACATATGTAGTCGTTAATTTTTTTTGTCTTTGATGACTAGTCTAGTTTTGGGCTTTTCTTAGATATCTATTTGATTTTCACAGACAGCTCAATTTAACCTTGTTTTAACAAAGCCGTCTATATTTAGACATCTCTTAGACATCTATTAGATAAGTCATCAAATACAGATAAGACAGACTTCACACATGTAGTCGTAAGTTTTTTTGGCTAGTTTTGGGCTTTTCATAGATGTTCATTGACAGCTCAAATTTAGCCTATATTTAGATGTCTATTAGACATCTATTGGACATCTTTTAATTTTAATTTAATTTTAAAAATTATTTGGGTTGTGTAGCATTAAATTTTTTAGTTGAATCAACACTTTTTTTAAAGTTATCTAAAAGTTTAAATTAAAATATTAAGTTTATTTGATTGACGCAAGTTGAGACGACTAGAAACACTTACTTGATTCAACTAAAAACTTGGCTTGCATTGCCATAAAATTAAAGGGATAGTTCACTCCAAAACATGAACATTTATATGGTAAACGGTTGGATAAATCAAGACTCAATAGCTCTTATCATGATCAGTGCAAGCAGTTAAACAGGAAAAGTAGATAAAGTGACTGTGTAAACAGGGCAAAATATCAGTCACACGATGCCACGATTAATCAAATAAAACAATTCTGTATGTATCAGAATTTTAAAAATGTTCAGAAAGCGCTGAATAAAAGCAGATTCATGTCGCATCATTCACAAAAAAAAAAAAAAAACGACAAGGGCATTGACATACAATGACCCAAAATGCCAAACAGGCGTTTAGCTTCTCAAAGGAGTCCAGCAGGAATCAAGTGCGCGCTGTGAGAAATTGGTCCGTTCCCCAACAGCGAGACAGATAGAGAGGTGTCGAATGGAGCTGTTAAGCTGTGGAGAAATTGCTGCTTAACGAGGACAGTCCAGGCAACTGCTACTCGAACATTAAGAGACCCTCGTCCGAAAACTAATAATTATCGCAGCAATCAAATGCACACAATTATTATTTTTTAAATAAACAATTCTGTTCAATTTTCATTCAAATAGAAGCAGCATACTGTAGAGATGTACGGCAAACATGATGATTTTTGGATTTCTGGCACAAATAAATACAAGAAACGTTCTAGCCCCACACATTCACACACCCAAAATAAGTGTCTTTAGCAGATCGAATTTACAAAACAGGCAATACAACAGTGATAGCAGTTTTGAGGACGCCAACATCGCACATACACTTTCCTGAATTAGTGGTGGTGAAGTGATCCTGACCTGACGAGGCCAGGTCACGTCCCGAACACACAGTTCACAGACGTCAAGCAGCCAGGGGTTTGCTCGACAGACTTTTTTTCTTTTTCTACCAGTTCTCACCTGACAAACAAAACATTTAAAGTGTTACGTTACATTCAGTAGTATGTAAATCACAGATGGACTGTTTTTTGACCCTCTGTGCTCCCTGTATGTCAGAGATCTTTGCAGGTCTTTTGTAAGAGATGAGTGCAGAGTGCACCTCCTGGTAGCCGTGAAGAGATGAGAGAAAGAGAAAGAGAGGTGTACTGAAATCTTCCGGTGGACGGCGTCCAGTTTTAGCCTGTGGTTTTGGAGTTTTCCGCAGGGGTGGTGTCTTTACTCAAACGCACAATCTCCTGGGACAAAACTTCCAGATCCTATAAATAAAAACAAGAATTATGATAATTTAAGAATCGCAATTAAGCATCAAGTTGATAGGACTTGAACATTGGCTGCGTCCAAAATCACCTAATACTCAGTGGGTTCTACATTTAATTTAATTTACTACACGATCATTACAAAAGTACATTCTAAATAGCAGTGTTTTCCAACCCTGTTCCTGAAGGCACACCAACAAGACACATTTTTAACCTCTCCCTAATCAAACACACTTGAATCAACTTATAAAAACATTAGAAGAGACTACAAAACCTGAAATGAATTGATCAGATAAAGGAGACATCCAAAATATGTACTGAAGGTGTGCCTCAAGAAACATAGTATAGTATGAATGAGAGTAGCATGAATGGAACTTTCATACTAGTCATTATCACATGACTTACCCACATCCGTTACGTAAATTTACTCCCATTCACAAATTCTCATGGTATATCGTAGCAAACATCGGATGCACACTTCGGAATCTTACCGGAAGTAGAAGGTCATCCGGGTACTTCTTGCATAATGTTTTTCGAATGCTTTGAATTCTGAAATACTACTCGGCTTGCATACTGTTTTTGGTGTACTATATAGTATGGAAGTATGCAATTTTGGACACAGCCATGGTCCATAATGATCTGTGTTCTCATAAACCAAGTGGTTTAAAAATTCTTCTATTCATGTCAAAATGGTGTTTATGTGTGTTAGTGGTATTTACTAACAGCAATGTCTATAGAAACATGTGAAAAGCAATGGGTAGATAAGAGAAGTTGCAATCATCTAATGATTACATCAAGTCTTCTAGGTTTTTTAATATTTCCGTCAAGACTTCCAGATGTAATAATTATTTAAGGTCACTGGATTTGATTTATTCTGGATCACAGCTAAAAATGATCAGTATTTAGTAACTTCACTACAAATTTATCATCAAATCTCCTCATTCAGAAGCATTGATTGGATTTTTTCACATTTACATGGCTGCTATACATTGTGAATATTCTAAATCAACATGACGCAATAGTATTTTTAAAAAGGAAAATGAATGTAAAAGAAAGATTAAGAAAAAAGTATTTTCATTGTGTGAATATATAATCATGCAAGCCCTAAAAATGTAACTGTAATATGATATTGAGCCTTTTCAAATGAAAACATAAATTATATAATCCATTTTTAGCCCCTGGGTCCTAAAACAGGGTCTGAAAAGTTTTGAGCTTGTCCACATTTGGCCTTTCACAGAGGTAGTTGAAAACGCATTAAACCACATTGCTTTCAGAGTAAAAGAATCAAGGTCAAATGCAATCAAACAGTCGTTAAAGACCACCTACTCTAAACCAACTAACCCAATCCTAAAAGATTATGGGAACATGTCATTCATGTATGATAAAGTTTTAGCTTATTTCACATATTAGATAAAAAGACTATAATACACATGGAAATAGCCAAAACCCTCAAAAACAAATAAATATTTAAAAAACAAGAACAAGAGACAAAAGTACAGATGAAATCAAAACTAACCATATGATTTTGCAAGCTCACATTGCTAGTTTTGTGGTAACCAATTCATTTGTGCATGTTATTAAGAAACAAAAATAGTTTGCCCTTGTAATCTTTAACTGAAATCTGAATTAGGCATGGGCCAGTATAAGATTCTGACGGTATGATAACATTGGATTAAAAAAATCACGGTATCACGGTATTGTGATTACTACTCTAAAATAAGTTATTTTTAATTTTCTGGGTAAAAAACAACAACTTTTTCCCCTCTTCAACAAAATATATTTTAGTTTGAGACACATTTATAGTATTTTGGGACAGTAAACATGTCAGGGTAAATAATTCAAATGAATCATTGACTTCTGTGGTCTTTGTTTCAAAAACACTAATTTCTTTACAATATAAAATAGTATCTTTTCAAATCTTTTCTGTTGGAGATACTGTTGTATTAAAAAAAATATGTTACACATACCTTAAGAATGGTATAGCAGAAAAATTGGGAAGTTTTAAAAACTTGACTTTTCCAAACCGCGGTATACCTTGAAAACGGTTATTGTCCCATGCCTTATTTGAATATGCACTTGTTGTTTTTTTTTCAGTTAAATTAAATCTCAGATTAATGGCCTACTCACACTATGCTGTCCATACCGTGCCCAGGCCCGTTTCCCAGATGGTTTGACAAGTGTGAGTGCGCTGAATCTGGCTCAGGCAGGGTTTACTTGGCTGGCTCTGGCCCGGTTGGAAGAGGTAGGTCTGAGCGCGGGTTACTTGAGCCCGAAACTGAAAGCGAGATGTGACTTTTAAGGGTTTCATATGGATTTAATAATCATTCTTACTATTCAGTGAACGCAAACTGCCGTAGTTTGTTTAATACACAAACCCCTCACTGCACGACAGCTGCGCACCTTCAGCAAACCTCCTAATTCCTGCAGCATGAGGGCTTTGTGATTGTTTATGAGCGTCAAAAGTGGCTGATCTGTTCGGCAAAATATCTGACTGCGTTTCACCACATCCCTAAGGACTAAAGCGATATAACTAGAGAAATGTCCACTGTGCAGAGCGAGAGCGCTTACTGAACAGCGCAGCATCCATGGCGTAAGCGTGCCCAGGCCCGATTGTTATGTGAGTGCGGGCCGTCAGTGGAGATGGGAGAGGGGACAAGCGTGCTTTGGCTTGGTTCGAGACAACTGTACATAGTGTGAGTACGCCCTAAGTCTGTCTGAGTTATTGGGCGTCGCTAACATACTTAACCATGCCCCTACAAATGTCAGTTTTGACATCAAACAGAAATGGTGAGGAGGTGTCTGTTAGGTTGTAATAACTCTTCTAAAACCCATTTCCCGATTTTTGTGAATGAAATGCATACTTTACTAAACCCAATCAGCTCACAGTAGAAAAAAAACAAGCCACGCCCCTGATTACTATTCTGTTAGGATCTGCGTCACACTACGAAAGAAAAAACAGTCGCAGCTTAAGGGGTCTTTAAAACTCTAGGTGTAAATGGGAATGTGTCTCCATCTACTTGTGATCCAAATGATCAAAATACATCATTATAACAGTGCCCGTGTGGTAGTGGAACACAGTAAATGTTTATTTACACCGTTGCCCTCCTGCGAGGCTTTACACATTAGCTTGAAAGCAACCCAGAATATCTCTCCAAAAATTTGGAATTTAGAGCTGAAAGGTATGAAAGAGCCATTAGGCAGTCAGGCCTGAGTTCGGCTGCAATCACACACAGTATTATACTTTCATTCTCTCACAAAAGCACACAGCAGAGGCAGCGCTGCATGCACCGTGTGCTCACTCTAAAGCAAGAAAACCCATCAAATATTAAGTGGACTGTTTGTTTCTGGACTGGCGGACCCAACTGCCAGTAAATATTCATAAGCTTGGTGGATTAGAGAGAGAAAGATGCTGCAAGTCTACATCAGGCAGACATTTTGGTCTGTAGTTACAGCTTGTCCACTGAAAGCCTGCTCTGTCAAATTAGCTCCCAAAATTAACAGAAAGAAATATTATAGTTTACATTTTACTTTGATAGTAACTTACATTCCACATTCTGTTGTCTAGAACTTTTTAACTGCACTTTAACTAACGTTATAAGGGTATTGATGGACTGTTAGTGGGATAACGTAACATATATTTATAAAGTTACACACAGTCGAATGGGGGCCATCAAAATATAATATTGGCAGTAAGGATGTATCGAATTTGTGGACACCAGAAATTATCGGCCCAAAACAGCATTTTTGGGTTTAGGTGAAATAGGAGTTGTACAAAGTTAGCTGAAATAACACACTGACAGGTCATTTCTATGTAGTATACTTGTTATTGCTGCTTGCAATAGCACTAGTTTGTTGTCATGGCAATGCTGGTAAAAATGACACTGCTTGACAAAAATTTTAACTGTTATTAAAACATTATTTTAATGACTGGTGCATTTTTTATTTTAAATCGGTATAATTTAAGTTACTGGGTTAAACTTAAAAAGTTGTAAAAAAAATTATTTATATTATTAAAAGTGTATATTTAAAATGACAGAGGGCACTCAGGGGTCTGTGTGGGTCCTAATGGCCCAATATAGTGAAGGGGACACCATACTGTTAGTGAGCGCCGTCTTTCGGATGAGATGTAAACCGAGATCCTGACTCGCTGTGGTCATTAAAAATCCGAGGATGTCCTCCGAAAAAAGTATGGGTTTAACCATCCTGCCCAAATTTGCCCACTAGCTATCATGGCCTGGTGTTAGATGAGAAGATTCCCCCCAAAAATGTGTTAAGTACTTTGAGTGTCCAGAAAAGTGCTATACAAATGAAAGTAATTATTATTATTAATTACTATTATTATAGTTTTCATTTTGGTGCAACCCTAAATTGCAAACATTTAGTAGACCACTAATATAATATAATATAATATAATATAATATAATATAATATAATATAATATAATATAATATAATATAATATAATATAATATAAGACTAGATGAAATGTGGTTGTAGATTATCTAAAGGGGAGCATTAAAATAAAGCGTAACTTTAGAATATTTCAAAACTTTTTTTATTGTATACTTATGCAATAGAAGATGGATGTATTATGAAATATATTGAAAAACTTTGAATTTAGGCAAAATAATATGTACAATTTGCTGTAAAGATAGAATAATTTAATAATAATCAATTAAAAAATAAATTAATAGTAATTCCAAAAAAAGTCTAGAAACAATACTACATAAAATTAGAAATATATGAGGGTTAGGTGAATAATTGTTGGTTCTGTTTTACACACACATACACACCATGTTGTACATCGAGGTTTGCTGAATCCAAGTTTCCAGCATTCTTCAAAATACCTTCTCAAGTAGAGCTTAAATGAAATGGCAGAATTCAAATTTTTGCGTGAACTAGGGCTGCACAACATTGGAAAAATTGTCAATTTTGTTGATCTGCAATTTATTGTTCTGCACTTTAAATACAGTTTCATCAGATGCCTTGAATAACTATTTGAAAAGTATTCATTAATCTTTATTAAAGTTACAAATGGTACAATTTCTTGTAAATAAATGCTTTGACTGAACATTTCAAGAAAGTTTAAAGGCCTTAATAAGGAATAAGGACATCAAAAATCTGTTTATATGGTCGACTCCTAATTAGAGTATTGTCTTAATCGTGTTTAAATCAGAGTATTGGTGTCCATGTAAACGTACTCACTGCAAACATACCATACTATCCTGGACCAAACTTGAAATAAGCTTCTCAAGATGTTTGTGAACCAATTCAGAAAGTTTCCTGCAATGCAAACCTCCTTTTTCTTAGTCATGGACTAGTTTTACAGAGGGATCGTCACTCCATCTTGGTCTTAGTTTGCATCGTTTGTCTCTGCCAAGGTTATGGCAGGGTGTTTTTGTAACCTACAACTCCCTATGGGCACCAACACACACTCGCACAAGATGCTCTCCGCCAAGATCCAGACTGTTTCCAGGCCTCACATGGGCTTGAACGCCCCCACAGCAAGGATTTTATTCGCATTCACAAAAAAAGAAAACAGAGCACCAAACGTCACATATCGGGGCATTAATAAAGAATGTAACGGATGCGAAGTGGCAGTACGTGGCTCGTCCAATCAAATTCATAATGCATTAGTGTTGCGAGTCTTTTGTTTTTAACTCCAGACTTATATAACGTGAAGCTGCTGTTTTTCCACTGATGCTGGAATTATTCATTTTATAGGAATGTCTTTTGGTTTGCATCCATATAAACAGAGAAGGACATTCAAATGCACATATTTGTATTTAAATTACCGGATTATACAAAGACAGGCGTTACTAAATGGTTATGTAATATTGAACACATTTTTAGATATTCAGCTATAAATAAGCACACAGGATTGTATAACATGAATGCATGAATTTTAGCAAGATTAATTTCATATTCATGTTTGTTTCATGTAATTGAGCTCTCATTTTTTCCACAATGTAGGCACATTGTACATTATAGGTGTTGTATGCAAGTTTTTGACTCCTCTAAAGCATAAAAATACCATAATATGTTTGCAGATAGTTAAGAAACATGCCAAGTGAACATTCTTGTTTATCTGAAAAACAAAGCTAAAGTCAGATATTCTGCTTTGAAAATTGGAGTTACATGCCAGGCGGTCTGTCTTTGTTTTGGTTCTTTTAACCTGCCCACTGCCAGTTTAGCCAATTATATTTCAACACCCTGAGTAGCCATATTGGAAAACCACGTATTTCATTTGATCATTCATAAAGGCTCTCACATTATGCGACCATGACCAGTGGACAGAATGAAATGAGAAGCAGATTCAGAGTTCCACATGAGTTTATTAATTAGCAAAAAATATAAATATTACGAATGTAAACATTAGGTGAGCTTAATTGTTTTACGTTCAATCCACTTTAATTTGTAATAACAACTAAGATAACTTGTTAGGAATTGTGTAACCTGGCATTTTTTACAGTGAAGGCTCAAATATACAAATGAAAATCATTGATAAAAAAATCTAATGTTCACAATGTTGATAGTAATAGTAAATACTGTATAATATACACAGTAAAGACAACTTGATTGTTTTAAGTTCAATCCACTTACATTTATAAAAAAAATTAAGGTAACTTGATCGAACTTTGTTGGGACACCATGAAGGAATTGTGCAAGGGGCCGAACACACTGAAGGCGCTTTATGCGTTGACAGGCGCCTCTTTAGAATGGTTTACTAACGGCCGTGGGCGCTGCTTATGCGGTGTCTTGTTTGTTTTATTTCGGCTAGAATAAAAGCAGTTTTTACATTTTTAAAGGTCAAAATTATTAGCCCCTTTAAGCTATGTTTTTATTCAGTGGTCTACAGAACAAACCATTGTTATACAATAACTTGCCTAGTTACCCTAACTTGCCTAAACTAACCTAATTAACCTTGTTAAGCCCTTGAAATGTCACTTTAAGCTGTATAGAAGTGTCTTGAAAAATATCTAGTCAAATATTATTTACTGTAATCATGGCAAAGATAAAATAAATCCGTTATTAGACATAAGATATTACAACTATTATGTTTAGAAATGTATTGAAGAAATCTTCTCTCCATTAAACGGAAATTGGGGGGAAAAATAAACAGAGGGGCTAATAATTCAAGAGGGGGCTAATAATTCTGTCTACAACTGGATATGAAGATATTTAAACATTTATTATAATTATCTTTACTCATGCTAATTATTCTATGCATGCATATTATGGGCAACACATAATACATGCAATTCAAACAAACGAACACATGGCTTCACTGCAGGAACAAACCTCACATTAGCAATGTGTGGCTCTGAAAATATCAAGAGGGGTGTGAGAGGTTAATTGTCATTAGTCAATCTGTGTGATGGTGTGATCCCATCAAACGCATTGCCCCGCAGGCTGCCTGACGTGCACTTTCTATTCCTGCTCCGAGAAACGTTTTAGCATTAACAACACGCCCACCACCCCCTCTGCTTGCTGATGAATAAGACCTCTCAGTGGAGTCTCAGACCCGTATGACAGTAAACCACCCACACACACCATCACACACACGCATACATACACACAGACACAGTCCAAACACATGATCACACTTTCTGAGTGACTACAGCCACTTCTCTGCTTGCAGGTGGAAATCTTGCGGTCAGTTCACCTCTTCTCACCTGAATGAGTCATTGCTCAACACGAATTGGCTCTTTACTTTTCAAAAAGCTTCAAATTCAAGTTTTTTTTCCCTCAATCAATGGTATGTCATGAAACTTGGCTATTACTAGGAGTCAAGACGACTTGACTGAAATAAAAAATCGATTGTTTTGTGTTTGCAAGAAGTGTTAAAAACAACAACAAAAAAAAGAAAGAAAACATCAGAATAGAACAGACCAAGCAAAACCCAAAAATATAAACATAAAAGCTATATACCAATATAAAACTAGAAATCACTAAATGCATAATGAAAATTAAACCAAACCAATAGAGTCGGGCTGCAGATTTGCACTTGCACTTTGCACTTGGAGAGGAAGTGACGTCATTTACGATCGACACCTGTACCCGCTTGCATGAAATTCCTTCAGTAATTTAAATTAAGAGTGTCCCTGAGAGGGAAAAAACCCTGAGGTGAGGGATTTCATTAAGACCGTTGCAACAAACTTCTTATCTGTCACCTTTACCTAATGCCTTTTTTACCCAAGTCATTCCCTTATGGAATTGATCTCGAAATTATGTTTGGAGGACCTATAAAACTGGGTTGGGATCATGTAGAGACTTTTGAAGCTGAACTGAAACTGCGATTCATATGGATGCACTCCTGTGTTGACACGTATATGTTATTTTATTTATTAAATGGTTTTATTAAGAAATAATAACGATAATAGATCAAATAGATTTTTGAATATTTAATACATAAAGAGTATATTAGTTTGGGTTAATTTAATTTAAGAAAAAAAAACATAAAAAAGAAACAACGAAAGAAAGAAAGAAGAAAGAAAAAAAAGAAAGAAAGAAAGAAAGAAAGAAACCAAAAACAAAAACCAAAGATAAAACAATATATAAAAAATATAAAACAAAACTAAAATTGAAATATAAATTATAAAATATGAAATACATTCTAGAACCCAACAAATCTAAAAGATGAGAACAAAAAACAAGCAGACAAAATTAAAATGAAAGAATAATTAATTATTTTTAAGAATAATTCTATTTCATTTGAATATTTAAATGGACACTTTAAATGTATTTTCGTATGGGCTGATTTAATTAAAGAGATGAAAATAATATATATATATATATATTTATTTTTAAAAGTAAGAAAGAAAGAAAGAAAGAAAGAAAGAGAAAAACTTGTCATCTTAAATGCACTGCTAAAAGGCAAAAACGGTGAAATAGAGCTGTTGTTATTTTTGTGTGTATTAAAATATTATTTTTGTTGTGATGTTCAAATTCTGCTGACATTAACTCGGTTTTCTGTTTGCATGGACTCCATTTGATATTAATAAATGCCTTTGATAACAAGCTTGCAACCTAAAATGAGCTTTACAGTCACATAATACTATACTGTACAATTAAAGTCAAAATTACCAAAATAATAATCCCTACTGTGATTTTTTTATTCTTTTTTTAAATATTTGCCAACTGATGTTTAACAGCGCAAGGAATTTTTCACAGTTATTTCTATAATATTTTTTCTTCTGGAGAAAGTCTTATTTGTTTTATTTCGACTACAATAAAAGCAGTTTTAAATTTTTTTGAAAACATTTTAAGTTCAATATTATTCCCTGCCTTAAGCAATTTTTTGATTGTCTACAAAACAAACCACGGCTAAACAATAACTTGCCTAATTTACCTAATTGTTAAATCTTTAAATGTCACATTAAGCTGAATACTAGTACCTTGAAAAATATCTAGTAAAATATACTGTCATCATGGCAAAGATCAAATAAATCAGTTATTAGAAATTTGTTATTTAAACTATAGTTTTTAAAAATTTGTTGAAAAAATCTTTCCGTTAAACAGAAATTAGGGAATAAATATACTGGGGACTAAAAATTCAAGAGGGCTAATAATTCTGACTTCAACCGTAGCTGTTCATCTCTTTCTTTACCTTCTGTAGGTGCATGTTCTTTGTCAGTTGTTCCTCCAGCATGTTCTGCAGCTTTTTGTTCATCTCGCGCAGATTCTCATCTCCGGGTTTCACCAAGTCCCTCAGAACCGAACTCAAACCTCCACGGTCAGGCTGAGCACTATGAGCCAATCCAACACCTCCTGATACATCTGAGATATAAAAAAAAAAAAACAGAAAGATGCAAACATTCAATCAATCCAGCTTATGCTTTTTAACCCCGTTTTCCCTCTCAACATCTATGAATAAATCCATGTGTATCTGGGGGCCATTAGTGTCTGCTGAGTGAATACAGAGTGCTTGCGTTTGGAGGAAAGCAGTTCACTTCACGCCACAACATTACGAGCACCTCGAGTGCAATCATCCGCAGGTTTGACGAAAGCCACACACACATCTTAAAGTTGCCAAATAAACACCGTTCTACACTCACAAGAGCTGCAAGAGGATCGGTCTGCTTGGTAAATCTGACGTCATGTTTTAAATGCTAAATCAGATGGCAAACGGAAACAACAAATGGTTTTAATGTATGCTGAAGGTGTGATGTAGTACTACGAGAATCATGATCGTAAATGTTTATATCCATGCCTAATTGTAGATGGTCAAACAGTGATTCATCTTTTAGAAGTCGTTAAGATGACTGTCTGGGATACAGCAATACTGTGATCTAGTAAAAGATTCACTTTTATTGTGTAATATGACTAAATAATGATCATAAATGGTTATTGAGATTTTCTCAATGCAAATTAAACAGTATTTCATATAGTCTCAATTTAATTCAGGGTGCCTATTATTCATTTTCCAAGACATTTCTTAAAGATATAGTTCACAAAAAAAAAAGTAAGTAAGTAAGTAATTAAGTAAGTAAGTAAGTAAGTAAGTAAGTACGTACGTACGTAAGTAAGTAATTAAGTAAGTAAATAAGTAAATAAGTAACTTATTTACTAAATTAATTACTAAATTACTTACTTTACAAGCACATTTCTGTATCATCAGCTATGTTACAACCATAGAAAGATGTCAATGATATTTTTATATAAAATCAATGCTGTTTTATTTATACATTATATTTTGTTATATTTCTTAAACATAATCATTTATTTTTAGACTCATTTGTTGGCCAGTTCTAAGCCATCTACGTTTTATTGTTTCACTGTAGAAAGGATAATATTTGCAATCAAACAATAAATTGAACAGATCTCTTTCATTTTGCCTCACAGCAACATCAATATAGCATGTAATAGTGTAGAATTGTTTAGTAATATTTTAATTTTAATATAATTTGTTAAATATAATTTAATTTGTTTATCGGAAAGAAGATATTTTCATCACATTTCTTAACATAATAGTTTTAATAACTCATTTCTAATAACTGATTTATTTATTTTTTAGTAGATATTTTTCAAGACACTTCAATATAGTTTAAAGTGACATTTAAAGTCTTAACTAAGTTAATTAGGTTAACAAGGCAGGTAAGGGTAATGAATTAGTGAAGTTATTGTATAACTATGGTTTGTTCTCTAGACTAATCGAAAAAAAATATATAGCTTAAAGGGGCTAATAATTTTGTCCTCAAAAGTGTGTTTAAAAAAAGTATAACTGCTTTTATTTTTAGCCGAAATAAAACAAATAGGACTTCTCCAGAAGAAAAAAAATATTATCAGACATACTGTGAAAATGTCCTTGCTCTGTTAAACATCATTTGGGAAATATTTAAAAAGAAAAAATACATTCAAACGGGAGCTAATAATTCTGACTTTAACTGTAGTAATATTTTATTTAGTGTGCATTTAAATTTAACATACAGTTTTAAAAATTAACACAACAGTTATTTTTGTTAATAACAGTTATTTGCTTACTAACTCAGTTACTATTTGCGAATAGTAACTAGTAACTGTAACTAACTACTTTAAGGTACATATAGTAAAATTTTATTTAATTTAGTGTCCATTAATTTAACATAGTTTTAAAAAGTACATACAGTTACTTTTCCTAGTAGTTAGTTACTTTTTGATTTTGTAATCCAGTTACTAACGCAATTACTATTTGTGAATAGTAACTAGTAACTTTAACTAACTACATTATGTAAAATATAGTAATATTTTATTTAATTTAGTGTCCATTTAATGTAACATACAGTTTAAAAAGTAACCCAACAGTTACTTTCTCTGGTAATAATTACTTTTTTTAGTGATGTAATCCGATTACTAGTTCAGTTACTGTTTGTGAATAGTAACTAGGAACTTTAACTACTTTTTTAAAGTAACAAAGTAATATTTAATTGAATTTATAGTTTTTTAAAAGTAACAAAATAGTTAATTTCTCTGGTTTTTAAGTTACTTTTTAAATGATGTAATCCAGTTACTAACTAAGTCACTATTTGTGAGTAGTAACTAGTAACTTTAACTAACTACTTTAAGTAACATGCCCAATCCTTATATTCAAAATAATAATATTCCAGGACAACATGATTTTTCCATGAAAATTGTTTTCTCTCATTTTTCATGTGTTTTCTAGGAGTGAAAAAAATAGTCATTAATTTTACAGGATTTCTAGGATTTCCGATAGAAGCACGCATGAAATTGAAACCCTGGCTAAAGCAGAGCGATTGACAGTCTGGATGGAGTCAAATTAAAGATAGCCTGACAAGGTCTGTCAACCGAGTTCGTGACAGTAACACACAACCACGGAAATGACCGTAAGCAGGGGACAACAGTGTGGGGTTGTAACTGGACAAGCTGGAGTGTTAAAAAATGAAAGATGTTGCTTAATTGATGATTAACGGAAGCAAGCGGGAATCTTAGCTGCTCAATAGGATGCCTCCTTAAAGGCTGGCTACTAAGATGTTGTCAGGTTTCTGGTGAACTGTCAGAGAGTTTAGTGGAGTTTTTTCCTCTGAGGCAGGACAGGGAATCGAGCTGGCCGGCCTCTGCGTGTCAAGGGCAAAAGCAATAAGTTCGATCGGGCTGCTTCTTTCTCGGTTTTCACTTCATCTGGTTGAGTGCAGACACTCAAGGTCATCTCAGCAGTGTGTCCCTAAACAGTGCTGTCAAATAACCTCTTACACCTGCGGTCAGATGATGGAGCACATGGGGAATGGGCCACTTCCTGCGGGTGTTTCAATTTCAATTTTGTTTCCAACACCATCTTATCTTAGTTAAGGTAAACTGAATAATAATTTCTTTTTAAAATTTTTCCCAAATGATGTTTAACAGAGCAAGGACATTTTCACAGTGTGTCTGATAATATTTGTTCTTCTGGAGAAAGTTTTATTTGTTTTATTTCGGCTAGAAGAAAAGCTGTTTTTAATATTTTAAACACCATTTTAAGGTCAAAATTATAAGCCCCTTTAAGCAATTTTTTTGACTGTCTACAGAAACAAACCATCACTATACAACACAGGGTTCAACCATAAGGATATTTTCTACTGGCCCGATTGGACCAGTAGTTCAGATTTTTACTTGCCCTGCCAAAATTTTCACTGACCCAATCAAGAAAATAATATAAATAAATAAAAAAATAGCTTTTTCTTAGCCACATATTTTTAATAATGTGTCGAAAATATTGCCTGTGAATCTAAAGTTTAAATGTTTAAAAAATGTTAAAATATTAAGCAGTAAAATAAAGCAGAATGGAAAATGTGCATGTATTTTATTGCAAAATTAAAGGTGGCTGACTTAAGTGACAGAAAATATGCAAAACATCACTTCATTTTTTTCGTAGTGTTGTAACCACGTAAACATCTGTTTCCACAACGTTAGAACAACATTTTCTTTTAGCCTGGTTTTTACCAGGTTGTGGAAAAAAATAAGGTGCTCACAACATCCAATCAGAAAAAAGGAACCTAAACGCAATGTGGTGTTTAGGATTTTACAACATTCAAGACTTAACAGCACAAATTGTTTATATGTACAGTTGAAGTCAGAATTATTAGCCCCCTTTTGAAATTCATCTGGCACTTTCATTCACATGGACACCAATACTCAGCTTTTATGATTAAGATGATACTTATTAAGAGTCTACCATGTAAGCAGCGATTTTTGATAATCTTACACACACGAGTCCAGAAATGCGGAGGTTTTTCTTGCCGTTTGTCATGCGGTACGAAATTAAAACATCCTGAATTAGAGCTACGCATCAATGAATTTGCTCTTCAGTGTTTGAACTCTCAGTAATGATTTTGAATCACACTGAACTGAGCTAAACTGAACTGAACTTAAACACTAAAAACTAAACTACCCTGTTCCAGTTACTATGACCATTTATGTGAAGCTGCTTTGACACAATCTACATTGTAAAAGCACTATACAAAAGAAGCTGAATTGAATTGAATTGAATTAAAATATGCTGAATGAGAGTGAACTGCAGTTGAAGTCTAGATATTAAAAATGAAACACCTGAAATTGCATGAAACTCTGGAGGAAATGCAGAATAGCCTGCTGATTCGACATTAATTGTTTTATACTGAAACTTTCCTTCTAAAAGCGGGTCCTTGGTCTTATCCAAATTTCTTTGCCAAATTTCTTTGTTAAACATGCAGGACCAGAGCCAGCTGAGCTGGCGCTCTAGGCAAATGGCAATCACGCCGTTTTATTTGTATGGAAAGCGCAGGACCGTGAGGGAGTGGGTGGGTGTAGCGGATGAATGTGAGGACCATGGGGTTCGTTCACTATTCTGCTGCCCAAGGCCTATGTCACCTCTATGGATACACTTGCCCTGAACACACGTCGGCCACAACAAAAAACAAAAAAACAAAAAAAAAAAAACTTTTTTTGCATTATTTGCGTTATTTTTTTTTTTACCCGTTAAATATTTCGAATTAATCACGTGCGTTAACGCGCTAATTTTGACAGCCCTAATATTTATACAACAGTTCTGTCAGGTTCTTAAATCTGATTGGCTGACAGCCGTGCATCATTTTGACAGTAACATCACACAAAGGTCTCTTCACCTCTGTGGTGTATTACTCCACCCACATACAGCCAACAACAAGCACAAACGCTAGAGTTTGACAAATATTACTGTTGTTAGACAACAAAATGAACTTTTGAGGCCTTTTTAGTCTAGAACGTAGTTGTTTAGATTGCAACTATGCAGTTTATTTGTAAGAATAGTGCTGTTAGAATATTTACAATTTCTGAGAGAGCTCGTCGGT